ATGTCTTTATCATCACTTTTGATCAATTTAAAGCATCCTTGCTAAATAAAAGTGTTAATTTCTATAATTTATTTTCTAAAAAAATAAAAATTATACTGACTCTAAGCTTTTGAATGGTATAGTTATGGTAATGTTACAAAAGCTTTTTATTTCACATAAATGCTCAACTGTTTTAAATATTGATAATAATAATAATAATTAAAAAAAGGTTTCTTGAGCAGCAAACCAGCATATTAGAATGATTTCTGAAGGATGTGACACTGAAGACTGGAGTAATGATGCCTGTAAAACTTAAGAGGTGAAATTTTTCCTTTTTTGAATAATTAAATAATGAGCATATTGTTTATTCTCAACATGATAATAAAAAAAAATAAAAAATACATTGCACTTTCTTTTTACAGGATGAACCTTTAAATATGAACCCAAAACATAAAAAAATGACAAGATTTCCCGTATACTTTTCAGTTCATCACATGAAAACACCAAAGAAAATATGAACTGTATTTTTGTTCATCAACACGGTGTCTTTGCTGCTGCTGTAGAAAGTGAAGAGCTGCTGGATTCAGTGCAGCAGGATGAAGGAGAGCAGAGAACAGCAGAGGAACAGGAAGCTCTGAGTGACACTCTGAGCACTGTTACACAGGTTCCCTGAACAGCATGAGATGTCCTGAACATTAGGAACCGATTTTGTGGCATTACAAATGGCTTTAGAGACACAGCCTTTCACACCCAGTGACTGGCCTCCGAAACTGCCTGATGAAGCGAAAGAAAAGAAAGGTTAGTCTGAGCTTTACTGGTATATGGGATCGGTTTCAAACGCCCAAACATAACAGAAATAAAAATGACTAATCTTCTTTCTTTAGCAGATTCTCACCTGTTGCTGTAATGCAGCGGTCTTCACTCCCTGAACAGGTCACTGTGTTTGAGCAGCTCTTCCCAACACAAGAGTAACATTTCATTCCATTGGAGTTGGAATCTACAAGAGAAAAAACAACAACATGTTTTTTTATTTTCTGTACAAAATATATCTAATGAAACAACAGCCTATATTGATTATCCATTCAATCAATTCCCAATAGAATATCTGACTCTGCATTTTACATGATTATAGAAGTCCAATCACAACACTCACTGTACTCTCCCAGCTTTTATAGTTGCAGAGACCCGTCTCTTATATCAAACGTTACTCAAGGTCTGCACTCTAAAATTCTCTTTATTATAACAGGAGATATAAAAACAGATGACAAACGTTTCGCTTGCTGCCTTTGTCAGTGTGACTAGTTCTCAGTAACTCAATGATTATATAAAGACCAATGAAGACTAACAGGTGGTAGTAATTATATGATTTTGTACGGTTCTTAAATTCAAGATTAGATTCTATTACATTTTCAGTTGAGAATAATGTATCCTCTATTCGTTTTCTAGATGTGTTAATATCAAAAATCAATAACAATATCTCCACCACGGTGTTCCGTAAACCAACAGAAAAAAAAAAAAAAAAAAAAACATTACTATCTGCTGATAGTCATTAAGCCAACTCTATAGACCGAGACGTATTTGTGATTCAGAAGAGGAATTTGAGAAAGTCTAAAATTTTGAAGAATCGTTTTTGTTCAAGAGGATATCCACAAACTTGGTTTCATTCAGCAGTTGAAAAAATAAAATCTGAGAGATTTCAGTTATTGAATTATCAAAAAAACAAAAACAAAAACATAAGAAACCATTTTCAGTAAATTATATTCTAACTAAAACAAAACACAAAAAAAAAAAAAAAAAAAAAAAACCCGATAAAAAAAAAGCTAATTCTAACAGGAAAACGGCAGATTCATCTCATCGGGCATCAAAAACAACCACTGGAAACAGGAGTTAAGGGAAAATATAATGAACACAGGAGGGTTAATAAACACAAAAAAAAAAAAAAAAAAAAATCAGATTAAATCCATTGTGAAACAAATATTGGTTTATCTTAGTTTCGGATCCTTCTTTAAAAGATGTTTTCAAACAACCTCCGATGTTTACTTATAAAAGATCTCAAAACTTGGCAAACATGCTAGTCAGATCAGATTGTGATGACAATAAAGCATACATACAAGGTTGTTTTCAATGTCGAAATTGTACTGTACATCATGTTCTTCAAAACAACAACGCAAAGATTTTACGCGTTTTTTGACAAAAAGTATACCATATCAAATTTTGTATTACATGTTCTACAAAAAATATAATATACTTACTTCAATGTCTATGTCCATTGATGCATGTTGGAAAAACATCAAGGCCACTGACAATTAGAATTAGTGAACACAAATCAGCCATTCGTAGACGTGATGTTACTTCTCCAGTTGCCAGACACTTTATTGATTATAATCAATAGTATTGAACAACTGAAATGTATAGGGATTGAGAAAGTAATGAATCTTCGCCGGGGTTGAGAAAAGCCTCTTACAAAGAGAGGCATCTTGGTCGTTTTATTTAAAAACCATGTCACCTTTGGGGTTAAACAAAGATTTTGACCTTTCATGTTTCTTGTAAGCTTTGTGTGTGTGTGTGTGTGTGTGTGTGAGGGATTGCAATGTGAATGAACGGCATGTTTTGCCTGATGTGTTATTGTTTCCATTGAATTTTGTTGAATTTTCTGCTGTTGTAGATGGAACTGATCTGGAGTCTGTGAATTTAGAAATGTAATTACTATCACCTGTTAGTCTTCATTGGTCTTAATATAATCACTGAGTTGCTGAGAACTTGTCACACTGACAAAGGCAGCAAGCGAAACGTTTGTCATCTGTTTTTATATCTCCTGCTATAATACAGAGAATTTTAGAGTGCAGACCTTGAGTAATGCATGATTATAGAAGTAAAATGAGCGTTGATTGGATTATTTGCACATGATCATTAAGGTATTATACCTGGAGCATCCTGGGCGTTACAACGGTCAGTATCACAGCAGAAAGAAGACATCTTTGCACTGCCAAAGTTGTAGGATGCGGTTTGACAGTCATTTGGTAAAGCACAACCTTTAACCTTAACTGTAGGACTACTGTCACCTACAAAAAATGAATGATACTGGTATGACAAGTTCAAATGCACAGCAGAAATCTAATCTGCATATTCTATTTAAATGTATGCATTTGCACAAATATAACAGTAAATCTCAATTCATCACACTGGACTTACCTATTTGTGTCACCGCTGTTAAACTCATACACTTGGAAGATTCAGCTTCACAAGTGATCTCCTTTTGATCCGCACAAGAACCCGTCAGACCCTTACACTCATAACATCTGAGAGAGTGTCCTTTAGTAATAAAACAGAGAGATGGTGAGAGAGAGAGATCCTGTATTTGTACCTATTAAAAACAAACACTATTTATCTTTGTACCTCCAGTGAAAAGAATGAGCAAAAGAAAAACTGAGACTTGCAGATCCATCTTTGTTCAGGAGGTGAATGAGATAATGTGTTTCAGTGCCGATTTTATATCCTAGAAAAAGGGGCGGGGCTTTGTGAAATAATGGCAGGTTAACAGAAAGATATAAAACCAGTAAATATGTTAAATTTTAAGGAGTGTGTATAGTAGGTTTACTTCTGTCAATCTATTAACAATAATTACAAGACCTTAGAAAAAGGACTGGATTTATCAGATTGAGTCAGCTCTGAAATGTGAAGAATTGGGTTTAAAAAATGCCAGATACACTAAATCTTCCTCTTTCTGGAGAGTTTCCCAAAAGCGAGTTTGGAATAATTACATTTTTGAATGTTTTTGAAAGAAGTCTCTTATGCTCACCAATAATGCTTGTATTTGATCAAGAATCCTGAAAAAAAAAAGCATTATTATATGGTGTTTTGGTGCTCAAGAAACATGTATTATTAACATCAATGTAGAAAAAAGTTTTTTTTCTGGAAACTTTTACACCCAATACATTTTTTAAGGATATTTGTTGAATAGAAAATTCAAACAAACAGCATTTATGTGAAAATAGAAAATCTTATAAATGTCTTTTACTGTCACTTTTGAACAATTTAATGCTTTAATCCAATTAAATCCTTGCAGAGTAAAATAATTTATTAAAATTTGTTTGTTTTTTTTAATCTTACCCCAAATTGTTGAATGGTAGTGCATCACGGTTTCCACGAAAATATGAAGCAGCACAACCATTTTCAACATTGATAATAATAAGAAATCTTTTCTATGTAAATCAGCATATTACACTGATTTCTAAAGTATCATGTGACACTGCAGACAGGAGTAATAATGCTGAAAATTCAGCTGGAGGGCCACTGTCCAGCTTCAACCCTAATTAAACTCACCTGAACCAGCTAATCAGGTTTTCAGGATTAATTACTGCAAGCTTCCAGGAAGGTGTGTTTGGGCAGGACGGATGTGACTCCTATGCAATATACATACAGTATCCCTATTATGACTCATTAATACAACAGAAACTATATGTAAGAATAATATATTATACACAATTTACATGTTAACCAAAATAGAAACCTTTCTGAAATGACTATTTCCTTTTCGTCAGATATTCCGTACCAGAAGAAAGACAGCCGGGATTGCATTGATGAGGGCGAGTAAATGAATGTTCACTTTTGGGTGAACTATAACTTTAACCACAAACGGATGCTCAAAGTTTTGAATTAGCCGCACCACATTAGATTATGTTTTTATGGAGCCCCTAAAGGGACATGGTGGTGGGAAAAAAATTCGGGGTGGGAGGAAAAATTTTTTTTGCGTTCCCTCGAGAAACTTTGCGTTCCCTCGCAAAACGCAAATATCTTTGCGAGAGAACGCAAAAAATCTGACAAATATTTTTTCCTCCCACCCCAAATTTTTTCACTCAATCTGATTTTTTTCCACCACCATGTCCCTTTAGGGGCTCCGTACTACGTACAAAACGCAAATATCTTTTGCGAGGGAACGCAAAATATCTTTGCGAGAGAACGCAAAGTTTCTCGAGGGAACGTAAAAGTTTTGCGAGAGAACACAAAAAAAAAAATTCCTCCCACCCCGAATTTTTTTCCCACCACCATGTCCCTTTAGGGGCTCAGTACAAAAGAGATTTAATTATGGTACATCTTTACAATATAAATCTCTGGACCTGACAGTTAGACTTCAGTTCGCATAGGAATGCTTAAGGTTTGGCCTGGTGGGTATTCAGGAATGAAGGAATGAAAAATAATGGGAATGAAATAAAAACAAATATAAGTTAAGATGAAGGGAAGGTTCCTTGCCCAGAAAATGGTAGGCAAATATGTACTGTAGGAAGGGTGGAGTAAGTTGAGCCACCCTTTTTAATGGAAGAATGCATCATTTTTGTATGTTCAAAAGAAGCATGTCAAATCTTGCTGTTTGTAATTGAAGCATTTTTATGCCACCTTTTTATGATTTACTGTGCATGTGAAGTACATACTTTCCTATCAAATATCATGTTGATGACTTGCCATTAATGAAGCACTTTTCCCAACATGATGGCTTTGAGGAAAGATGCTCGAGTGATTGTACTTGCTTTGGCATTATTATTTCTTTTTAGTATATATCAAAATTTGTATTAAAATGTTTTATATTTTGTATATATAATTATTTATTGTATATATCAAACCTACAAAACACATAGATCTATATAAAAACAGACACTTCAAAATATGAAGGTTCTTACCCATTTGCAGGAAGTAGTAGCATTAATTGGCTTGATTGCTAAACTTGGGGAAGTACAAGCAGGAGTGCCATTTCCTATGTAGCATTCTTTGTGTGATTGTTTAATTAATATATACAATGGTTTACTTGCATGTTATATTGTCCTGGTCCTAGTTCAGTAAAATATTTTGCACTTTATTATTATTATAATTATTGATTACTTAGATCTTATTTACTGAAATGTACAAAAACAAAATGATTGAAACATTAGACTGACAGTTACAGTTATTTCTCAACTGGTTGTGATTCAGTCATCGTGTAAAAGTTTGTGGACACCTCCTTATGATTAATGGGTTTGAAAATCCCAGTGAAAACAAATCTTGCTGTTATGTCATGCAGTCACTTTCTATAGACATTTTGTAACAACTCCCAATATTGGGAGTTGTTACAATTTGAGTAAGGTGCTTTTGAATCAGGTCTTGAAGAGCTTAACGTACCTGCACCAAACCCAGACCTGAACCTCTGACTCTGTAACATGTATTGCAAAACTGTAGAAGAGTGGAACTGTAATAGCAGCAAAGAGAGGATTAACGCCCTATAAACACATGTGGCTTTGAATTCATTTAAACATTAAATGTTCAGCAGGAACATATGAGTGTGATGTTCTGGAGTTCATACGCTTTTGCCCATATAGTGCATTTTTACTATGGTGTCAGTGTGAAGTAATGCATATGAATGTTATGGTATAGATAGTTATGTTTCTGTTGATCAAATATTGACAGAGAAACATTATAGTTAAATAAGTTTGTTTGGATTAAAAATCTAATTCAAGGCAGCTACAGCTACCTTTACCTTAATATCAAGCTATATATATATACTGTATGTATATACGTTTTATAGGACCACATTTTATGTAAAATACATATGAATTATCATGAGATCACGTTGGTCTGACACATGCTGAAAGAATATGGTCTGGGCATATGTTGATTATCAATCAATCCTCACTCAATATGTTTGTGGAATGCAATGAGAAAAAGTCTGTATGCACAAGCAGTGCTCTCTTGTGGCCTTATTGCAAACACAATACGTGTCTTAAGTTTTTCAAGCAATAACATTTTTTCTTTTTACATGCAAATATAAATACAGCACACACATTATAAATAGAAAGACAACATGTTACTACAACAAAAATTGAGATGTGCGAGTAGGTGTTTTGATGTTAGCATGTGCAAAGATCTTAGGCTGTCTGTTTTCACCTGCTGATAAATGATGCTAAATGCAGTTTTCAAATCTATCATACTGCATATACCGATGTGTGTCGCCACTGTTAAACTTTAGTACTTGGAAGCTCCACTGGGATGCCACTTGTTTTTGTACACAAGAACCCATCAGTGTCCTTTAGGATTTGTACCCACCAACAATTCAAATACTATTTGTCTTTGTACTTCCAGTGAAGTAAAGTGAAAAAAAATTGATCAGGTGAATGAAACAACATGCCTGTTGCAGCAGAAATGTCTGTCCGAATGGTTGTCACAAGTAACAGCACATGTTGTAGGCCTATTTCTCATTTGCAAGTTGTTTTGGACAAAAGCGTCCACTAAATTAATAAATGTAAATGTCACTCGCTTGGTTTTTCATAGGGATTATTAATAATAGGGATATTATAATAATAGGGATTCTTTTTTTTTCGTGGATTTTTTTTCGTGGAGTTGTGGATGGGTCTTTTTATTATTTTTGCAAAATACAGTACAGGGGCCCGTTCTTCATACGTCGCTGCTTAGCCTAAATCCGAGATGAAATGTCACATCCAAGATGATATCATCGCGCTAATCAGGATCTGGCTGATTCGGTTCTTCGAACGCTACTGTTGTTGATGATTAGTATGGCTGGATTGAGTTATCTGAGATAACTGCGCGTTCTATGGCCAGCCGT